AAATTCAAATCTTTTAAGGTTAGGTATTAAAAGTTCGTACACACGATACACACACTGCACATATCGCGTTCCATTTAAGCGTGGCAAACTGTGTTTGTGTGTGTTATACTGTGTCGGTTTGTGTCTCCTAAAAGGAAAGCAGCCTAAGGATAGAACGACGCTTGTGTCGATTTGTGTCGTCAAATGGAAAGCACCCAATAAAAACAGATATCATGCAGAAATATAAAAGCACTTCGTGATTGGTTGAATTTAGTTCCGCTGCCGCATGAACCGCTCAATGTACCATCAGCCTTAGCAAATCAAATGCGCTATCTATTTTTAGTGGCTTTATACGTCAGACCAATTAACGTGGCACGCATGACGGATAGCTAGCTAATCCCGCCCAATCGTCAATTAGCGGTCGCAATTGTGCGAATCGTGCTTTTCCGATCTGTCAGACCATGTGTCAGACTATCACCATTGTTACATAGTTTACGGCGAAGAGAGAGAGAAAGGACTCGCGGCGGCACTTGGGTTTGCGTTGCACTTGTATGATCTTTTACGCTTGATTCCTGATCAGGAGATTCGAATCTGCTCTCACAGCCGTAAGTACAAAGTGCGATTGTTATTACATCGATAGTTGATTCCCGATCGACGGTTCAGGATCGTCGAAATCGGGATCACAGCGCGTTGACATGCCGAGGGATCGAGAGAATTCCAGGCCAATGTCAATCTGCGTTGGCCGTGTGCGTGCCAAAATGTCCAAGCGGCTGATCGCGCGCCAGCGGAGATCGATGATGGTCGTGTATAGTGTATCGTCTCCCAAACGGTACAGTAACGATGCGTAATCGATGCATCCGAAGACGATACATCCGCTCTTCCTCTCGGCAGCATCCCCGCCCCAACGATTGTGTCGTCGATTAACTCCTAACCCTCATGCGGAATCCATTGTCAGATGAACATTGCGGCGACCAACGACATCGATGGCAACGCGATCATTGTCCGCCTCCTTTTTTTTCCTCTTCTTTCGAGATGGTTTCCTCCACGGAAACGGGTTTCGTTTGTAGCCTCGTCATTTTCGCCGCTTCGTATTTTTGTTCATACTCGTATGACGAGTCAGTGTATATATGTGTACACCTATGAGCGCGCCCGTGCATATTTGAAGATATTTTTAAACGAGAAAGAGAGAGCGAAATTATCTTCCTTTTTTGCTTAAACATTTCTCGAGTATTCATATATTTTATGTAAATAATTCTTAGATTACTGTAAGTGAATAAGTACAAACTTTTTCTTTGCTAAGACAATAAAGTATTAATGCACAAGACACAATTACAGGAACTATTTTTAACATCCTTAAATAATGAAAATATACTGATGTTAAGAAGTAAAATTGTCATAATTTTAATTCATTTTTGAGAGAATTAAAAGTAATATTAAAGCAATATTCTTGACAAATTTGTATGTTTCAGAAATATATATAGTTTGGCTACATTCTGTTTTATGCTTGTAACAACACTTGTAAGCATCATTTGTCCTTGTTTAATATTTGATAGATAACAAGAACAAACTAATACTTATAGCGTGTATGAGCATGAAAATAGCACACTCCCATAATATTATTTTTTAAAGTATTTTCAAAAAAACGTATTCCAGAAATTTCTAACATGTGTCTTTCTTTCATGCTTCTCTTGATATTATGTATTGTTTGAAAATTATAACCGTAAAGCTGTAACTTTAAAATTATTTATATAAAAATTTTTTAATTATTTACACACAAGATAATTTTTCTTCTGAAAGCAAAAATTTTATTTATTAGTTATAATTAAAATAACATGTTATGTAACAATTTGAAATAGTGCATACAAAAACATAGTTTTGAGCCATATCAATGATAAAATAATAAATGATAACTTAAAAATATAGTTATAATGTGTGTGTGTGTGTGTGTGTGTTTATCTCTCAAACACACACACACACACACACACACACACGCACGCACGCACGCGATATGCTGAAATTTTCCAAAATTTGTCAATTTTGATCCTCAAATATATAAAAATATTTTTTGCCTTTATCTGACAATAAAATTTGATGTATATAAATTTAATATAATAGATTATTGTAAATTTGCAGTATTGAAGATTACGATTATATTATTTTTAATTTGTGAATTTTATTATAACTTCCTTGCGCTATTTTTAAGTTTATTCAAGAAAAATTTCTATATAACGAAAATATAATATTAAAATATAATATGTGTAATATAATAATATAAAATATGTATAATTTTTATTTGTATTTTTAGATGTCAACTGGACCTACACATAAACATCGTTACAAAAACGTAGGATTAGATTCACAAGAGCTGCGAAGACGCAGAGAAGAAGAGGGAGTCCAATTAAGAAAACAGAAACGTGAGCAGCAATTATCAAAACGTCGCAATGTTCCAAACATTGTTGCAGATGAAGATAATGTTACATCTACAGATGATTATTCACTTCCTATTGGTACAGCACAATCGGTAATATAATTATATTTTTAAATGTTTTTGTGTATAATTTGTTTCATAATAATTTTTCTTTTTACTTAACAAAATTCATATTTTAACAGTCTCCTGGTATTATAACATCTGAAATGGTAGATGCATTGTATAGTCCTAACATACAAGATCAATTGGCAGCAACGCAGAAATTTAGAAAATTATTATCAAGAGAGCCAAATCCCCCTATAGACGAGGTTATACAAACAGGAATCGTACCACAATTTGTTGAATTTCTTAAAAATAATACAAATTGCACTCTGCAGGTTGGTATATGGAAATACGACAGTATAAATGTTCTCTTTTGTTGTGTATCAAAGATATATATAAATGATAATATTAATTGTCAGTTTGAAGCAGCATGGGCTCTGACAAATATAGCAAGTGGTACATCTCAACAAACACGTATTGTGATAGATGCAGGAGCTGTTCCTACTTTCATATCTTTACTTGGTTCTGAATATGAAGATGTGCAGGAACAAGCTGTTTGGGCATTGGGTAATATTGCAGGCGATAGTCCCGAATGCAGAGATCATGTCTTAGCCAATGGTATCCTCACACCACTTCTGCAGTATGTTTCTTTATATTTACAGTTTTTATGTAAATTATTACAGTTTATCATTATTATAAGAAAAATGAAAGATTCTTATATACATGTCGCACAATAATATAAAACTAATATTGCACTATTTTTATAGACTGCTATCAAAGGCAACACGACTTTCTATGACCCGCAATGCGGTATGGGCATTATCAAATCTCTGTCGAGGAAAGAATCCAGCACCAGCTTTTGCAAAGGTTGCACCATGTTTACCAGTGTTGGCACATCTTCTCAATCATACTGACTATGATGTACTCGCTGATGCTTGTTGGGCTCTTTCTTACTTGAGTGATGGCCCAAATGATAAAATACAAGCTGTTATTGATGCTGGTGTTTGCAGACGTCTCGTAGAACTTCTCATGTATGTTGAAGTTTATATTCATTATGCATAAGATTAATTTTATGTGGATTATATAATAATTGATGAAAATTTTTCAGGCATGAACAAAATAATGTAATAAGTGCGGCTCTTCGTGCTGTAGGAAATATAGTTACTGGAGATGATGTGCAAACACAAGTTGTATTAAATTGCTCGGCATTACCTTGTCTATTACATCTCTTAAGTTCGCCACGGGAAAGTGTTCGTAAAGAGGCTTGTTGGACAGTCTCTAATATCACTGCCGGTAATCCCCAACAAATACAAGTATGTTTCAATCTTTTACATAATAGAATATAACTTTGTTTATATATCTCGTATATCAATAATTAATATACAACATTGATTTCTATTTTTTAGGCGGTGATCGATGCTAATATCTTTCCGGTTTTAATCGAGATTTTAAGTAAAGCTGAATTTAAAACACGTAAAGAAGCTGCATGGGCAATTACAAATGCTACTAGTGGCGGAACAGCCGAACAAATTCGATACCTCGCAGTGCAAGGATGTATTCCGCCGCTTTGCGACTTGCTTACTGTTATGGATGTCAAGATTGTTCAGGTCGCTCTGAATGGTATAGAAAATATTTTACGCCTGGGAGAACAAGATGCAACTATGCATAATGGTCTCAATCCTTATGCAGTTCTTATCGAAGAATGTTATGGTAAAATATCAATTTGATACAGGTTTTCTATGAAAGACGTCATCGTCAATAAATATTGATTTGTTAAATCAATTTTTAAAAAAATAATGTTTCAGGCCTAGATAAGATAGAATTCTTGCAATCGCACCAAAATATGGATATTTATCAAAAGGCCTTCGATATTATCGAACGATTCTTTGGGTCTGAGGAAGAAGATACCCGACTTGTACCTTCAATCGATTCACAAGGACAAGAATATCAGTTCACCTCACCAGATTCTTCCCAACTACCAGTGCAAGGCTTTGACTTCTAATCATCTGTCTTTAAATTTCTGAATATAACTCTGTTTCTTTAAACGTTAACGTTATTTGTTCCACAGGGATTTATAATATTTTAAAAATTAGTAGGGGAGATTGCGCGCCGAGCTACCTGTTTATGGGAGGTAGGTGTCCACAGTACTGTTATCTCAGGTGTTAAGCGGTAGATATCCCTATTAATTTAAAAAGTAGCTGGAAAAAGCTAAGTAACATGAAAACAAAAATTTCTGAAATTACTTACATAATGCTTTTTCAATTACTCGTTAGAATGGTAGACATCTGCCTCTTAACATCTGATCTGAGACAACAATACTGTGGACACATGGTCTCTCCTACATCAATAAGAGAAATATGATTTTACATATTCATTCACTGAGCTTGAGTGTATTTGTGTCAGAAGTACAAAATAATTGAAACTGATCTATTCTTCTTTTATTCGAATTAAAAGCAGTAAAAACTCTTCATACACTTTCAATTGATTTTTTCTTTTTTTTTTATTTTTTATTATTTAAGATGAACCATAACTTACTCTATGTTACGATCTGAAATTGTTTTCGAATTTACGTCAAATTACAACAATGTCTGTGTTTAGAGCCTTGAAACAATTTGTGTAGGAACACTTACAGACTCATACCTGCATGTATTTAGTATGAGACGTTTAGTTTTTGAAACAAACGTCTTAGTGCTTAAGTAGAAGTGGAGACAGTGATCAGAACAATTTGTCGAGGCAAACTCGCACCTCGTCCGACATGTGACTGACGCAGAATTACGAAAAAAAAAAACTTGCATTACCCTGCAAGACACTAACTGAATGACTGAAGTACGCGACTACGTAGCCAACACGGACAACATTACGCAACGCGGTACTCACCTCCTTACTATACTAGATAGAAACATGACCAATTAAACTTTTTTACTGTAAATACGTATCTCGTAATTTTAAGGCTATTTTATACAGAGTGCCCTCAAGAAGCGAAGCAATAGTTTTATTTGGTCAATGCAACAGTTTGCGAGAATTGAGATATTTGTAATTTGTGATAGATATAATTTGTATTGAGATACGTGCAAAGTATGCTTTGATTTTCTTATGTTAAATAATCGTGCGGAATGCCGACTTCAATTATTATATACTTATACTTTTGTTAATCTAGTGTCATACAATAAATTACTAGTTCTTAATTATAAATATTTGCAAATGTATTAAATAAATATTTTTTATCTTATGTTTCTCATAATTAAATTTTTGAATTATCGCAGAGTCAATATTTTTCAACCCTTTATTTGCCTATGATGAAAATGAATAGTATTGAAATTGTACAGCACATAATCAGATTTTGGACATTCTGTATGAAAAGTCTATGACTGTATATATGAAATGTATTTATTATTTAGGTTTGACGATACCACACTATATTACACAAACCCTATATATACTATCTACTTTTAGTTACCGATTTGTGAATTATTACGACGGAGAATGACTGTACTACAGCCCATTAGTTGAAACTTTGCTAACTTATTACTTTAGCAAAGTATGCAGCTATGGGTGCTTGTTGCCAATTTATAATATACTTACCGAATAATATTACATGAATAAAGAAAACTGGATTTGTCGAGTTGATTATGCGCTATGCACGTTATTTTTGCATAAAATTTGAAATGAATTATTTTCGATTATATATATATATATATATATATA